TAGTTTGCTTTTTGAGCTTAGATTATTTTGCTCTATATCGTGATTTCCAGCTTCATCCACTTTCCTGTGAATGGCATAATTTCACTTTTTTTTTGGTTGAATATCCCATTATGTTCATATAAATATATATTTTCTGTATTCATTCCTTGTTGTTGGGTACCTAACCTGATTTCACTTGTTGACTGTTGTAATGGTTCCATGATAAACATGGAAGTATGGAAGTGTGCAAGTGTTCCCTTTGTATGTTGATTTATAACCCTTCAAATATATGCCCAAGAATGATGGAACAAGGTCTTAAGATGGGTCTACTTTTTAATCTGATGAATCTTAAATCTCCATACTGATTTCCATAGTAGTTACACTAGTTTACATTCCCATCAACAGTGTATTAGCATTTCTGTCCTCTCCCTACAACCCTCCTCTGCCTTTGTTTGTTTTCTTGATGATTACCATTCTGGCTAGGGTTTACATTTCCTTTCCAGCTATAGATGTTGAACATTTCATGCATCTAATTGAGATGACCATATGATTTTTGCCCTTGATTCTGTTTATGTGCTTTATTGCATTAATTTGTTTATGTGAAGCCATCCTGTATTTCTGGAATGAAATCAACTTAATTATGGTGTATGATCTTTTTAATATGCTTGTAAGTATTTTATTGAGAATTTTTGTGTCCATAGTCATCAAGGAATTTGTGTGTGTGTGTGTGTGTCTTTATTGGATGTTAGTGTCAGGATAATATTGGCTGCATAGAATAGGTTTGGTGGATTCATCTTTAAAAGTGTAGTAGCATTTGTTAGAGAATACATCCAGTACTAAGCTCTTTATTAGTTTTTCAACTTTATTGCTTGTTTTAGATCTTTTTTAGTGGTTAACACTCTTGATTCAATTTTAGAAGGACAAATTTACTTAAAAAATTATTTCTTCTGTATTTTCTAGTTTATTATATTTTTGCTTTTTGATATTTCTAAATTTTTACATTGAGATATATTAAAATTTTTCACCAGTCTATATTATGAGTTCTTGATTCTTGCAAACATTTTTAGTATATTAATATTACTATGTGAACACTTTTTTTGCTCCAGATTCCAGTCACAGTCTTAGATGTCTAAAGGACACTTCTGATGGGACTTAAGATGAGAAGATTTAGTCAAATGATGAGGAATTATGAGAAGAATATTCTAGGCAGAGTTTTCTAGATGGGAAAGAACATAGTGAGACTGCACAACAAGAAATTCTATAAAGTTGTGTAGGACATGCAAAGATGAGAGAAAGGTTTGAGTGGAGAGTGGTATGATAGGCTAGTGACATATTATTAAGCCCTTTGGGAAGCCATGAAAAGTATCCCAAGACCATAAAATAAATTTAAGCTTAATGATGGCCAGTCAGATTTGTGTTTCAGGAAGATAATTTAACTTCTGTGTGAATGAGTTGATTAAAAACTCCTTACTACAAACACAAGCAAATGATGAATGATGTGTGCTGAAGGCATTGAGATAACAATTGAAGTTCTGATCATGAATAGATATTCAAGATGGAAATGAGAATGAAAAGTAAGCAAGACCATCCAGGTGGTACTAGCAAAATTTAGAACAAAGTGATGTCATAGAAATTGTGAAGTGTTTGTAGAAAGAAGTAATAGTGACCTGAGCTACTACAGAGATTTTAAGCAAGATAAGGAACAAAAGTACTTTATCTTAACTGTAAAGGAGTCATTGATGACCCATGCAATGGAAGTCATATTACAGCAATTCTCAAGTGAGAATTAAGAGTTCCTTCCAAAGTTTAAAAGGAGAGAAAGGAATAACTTAGAGTTGAAAGCTCGTAACAATATATTGTAAAATCTATATCAAAAGAGATAGAGTGACAGGAATGGGCAAGAAGAGGAAGAAGTTGAAGATAGAGAAGGTGATCAAGACTTTGACATTCCTGGAGCATACAATGAGCGAAGGTTATGGCTTTGAGAGCATGCTTTGGGGACATTGGGATTTATGTGAATATATTTATGCCAGTAGTAGAGCTTGAACTCAAGGCCTCTGTTCTTACTTGGCTTTTTACCTTCAACCACGTGAACTTTCATTTTTAGCCTTTTGAAAGTTAATTGGAGATAAGAGTGTCATGGATTTTTCTGCCTAGGCTGGCTTTGAACCGAGATCCTCAGGTCTCAGCTTCCTGAGTAGCTGGGATTACAGGCATGAGCCACCAGCACCCAATTTATATTGGGTTTAGACAGTAGGTAAAAGTAAGCCGGGTGCTGGTGGCTCACGCCTGTAACCCTAGCTACTCAGGAGGCTAAGATCTGAGGATCACCGTTCAAAGTCAGCCCGAGCAGGAAAGTCCGTGAGACTCTTATCTCCAATAAAAAACACTAGAAAACTGGAAGTGGCACTGTGGCTCAAGTGGTAGAGCATTCGCCTTGAGCTGAAGAGCAGGGACAGTGCTCAGGCCCAGAGTTCAAGCCCCACAACTGACCAAAAAAAAAAAAAAAAGTGAGCCAGAGGAGCTGGGAAGATGGCTCAGTGGTAGAGTGCTTGCCTTGCATTCATGAGGCTCTGGATTTGATTCCTCAGCACCACATAAACAGAAAAAGCTGGAAGTAGCACTGACGCTTAAGTGGTAGAGCACTAGCCTTGAGCTGAAGAGCTCAGGGACAGTGCCCAGACCCAGAGTTCAGGCCCCAAGACCAACAAAAAATAACAAAACACCAAAATGAGCGAGAGTCTGAATGCAGATGAGCTTGTATGCTTGGTGGTAGAGGGTGAGGAGGTTTTCTATAGTGGCTTCTCTGTTTTCTTTGTGATAAACACATTTCTATTTGCTGGAACTGAAGAGAATGTTTGGGAGGAAGGTGGAAGGGAAGAGTAAAGGAGAATAGAGGATGTCTGAAACATTAGGTATGTAGAAGCAAAGAGAGCAGGGCCCAGGGAAAACGTGAGGAAGAGAATGAGTTTCAGGTATTGATGATTAATTCATAGTGGGACTATATCTTCATGAATTTCTCCAGCAGCTTAGAACAGCAATCACACTAGCCCTTCCTAAGATGTGTGTGTCCCTGAAATGCAAGGAAGAAAATACAGTGAATGTGATTCACTTCTTTGAACATCCACAGTTGTTCTGTGCTGCAGTATTGAAAATTCCTCTGAAGTTATTGAAGTGTGTGTGAACTGAACCCCTTTACTTCTTCAGTAAATGGTTCCAGACTGCTGTCTTGTTTTCCTTTAAGTTTTTGTCTGCTTTTTTATACTATTTGTCTACTCCCTTTCTGTTTTTTTCCTTGTTGTCAGTTGTTCTATCACATTGCTGTCTGCATGCAAGTCTATATCAGCCCTACACTCTGGACTTTGTCAACTTCGGGAGTATCACACCTGAAATAAAGCTGTGGGCTTGAAGACCAGACAACCAAGCTTGTTAGAATTTTGTGCAAAGTAAGAGTATATAACCTCTTAGTGTGATTCTCATGTGCTGTGCTTTGAGGATGTACATGAGTGTTTGTACATGAATTTTGTGACATTTATTGGATTGTTTCTCAGTTGTCCATGTGAAATGTTTGTTGCTTGTATTTCCATTGTGTTTATTTTCTTACTTTGAATTTCCATGGATTATAATATATTAGTCCTTAATATTTATGATTATGTCTTTGTAATTAGTTCTTGTATTTTCATAATCCTTAGCTAAATTTTAAACCCACATTAGACATTATTATTATTTATTATTCTCATGGATTTTCAAATACTGATATTATATATGGAAATAACATGTGTTTTCAACTATTTATGCATTTGTATGAAAGTAACATATCATGTCACAACTTGGTCATGTACCCATGTCATATGTAAAGGAACAAAGTTAAACAAATATTCTGGACGGTTTGAAGAACCAGTTATATACTCTTGCTTATGTATTTTTCATGTTGATATTGACTTCATCTGTGAATATCCCATGTTCATATAAGTGTTTTAATTTTTAAAGAAATATATTCTTAGATGCCCAATAAATAGTTTAATACTTCCTATGAACTCTTCTTCTTCTTCTTCTTCTTCTTCTTCTTCTTCTTCTTCTTCTTCTTCTTCTTCTTCTTCCTTCTTCCTTCTTTCTTCTTCTGTGCTAGGGATTGAACCCAGGGCCTCACACATTCTAGGAAAGCCCTCTGCCTATCATTAACTACGTCCTTATTCCCAATTCACTTAATTTTGGTTACCTTCTTTCATGTTGGGAGGAAGGTAATTTTCTACAGGGTCATTTGGTGACTTGGCCTTAACTCCAAGGATATACTGGGACTTTGGGCTATACTGGGACCTTAGGCTATACTGGACCTCACTGACAGTGCCCTGACTACACTGGTTGACTGAAAGAAGCTTATTCTTTAGATTCCCAGATTCCCCCTGGGTGTGATGGCCTTGCTGGACTCCTTTTGTGCTTACCACAGAGGGACCACTGCTAAACCCCAGAGCTCTGAGTCCAGGCTGCTGCCTCTGCAGAGCTGTTTGAAGCTCTTTCTTCTGAGTTCCTTAATCCAGCTTGGGGCTGATTGGGAATAGGGACATAGGTCCAGAGACGATGTCCCACTCACTCTGTGGATATCAGTTGAATCTAAAGGTGATTTCTCACTCTTTTGCATTCTATTCTCAGTAGGTTTTGGATTTTTTTTTAAAAAAGTCTCAATGTTAAATTTCCCCGTGTACACTGAAGTATCTGTACATAATATATATATTAAAATGATGGGACATAGGACATAAAAGCAAATTTAAGAAATTACAGTAATCAATTTTAGATTAGTAAAAAACAAAACAACAACAGACCATCTCTGTTCAGTGTTACCTTTTCCAGAACAAAACCCGCATTGCCTTTTTAGTTTTAAGTAATTTATTGAAGGATATTAGTATTTGTAAGGCATACTTATATCTTACTGATATAATTTATAAGAAGTGATCTTAAAAACCAGGCAGGTATTCCAGTGTTAGATGAATTTTCTAATTTTGTTTTGTTTCATTTTATCTAAGAACACTGGAACTATTTTGGGGCTGATGAGAATCTTGGTCCGGTGGCTGTAAGCATTCGAAGGGAAAAACCAGAAGAAATGAAAGAAAATGGATCTCCATACAACTATCGAATAATTTTTAGAACTAGTGAGGTAAGTGGCAAGTGAGAGGAGTTTGAGGCTTAATTGCAATGTCTGTTTGTGTGGGGGGGCTGGGGAGGATGAGTAGAAGCAATAGAAGAACAATTATATTCAGTAGCCCATGCTCACAGATGTCAGAGTAAAAAAGACTTTTCTGTAGTTCTACTGGAAATGTAAGCAGACAAGATGGGTACAAATGGATCCTTTCTAATTCTTGAGTAGATAAAATAAATGAATAGAAATTTTGATTCAGAGAGATAGGTTTATGAAGTGTGGCTAAAAGAAATTATCCTTAAAAGCTCAAATGGACTATTGCATATCCTACCCAGGACAATTGGGAAGTACCCAGTGTGGTAAACAAAGAGATTTAACAGGTGAGAAAGGGTCATCTAAGATTTAGCTCAGTCTTCCAAACTATTGCTAAGAACATTTCTGAAGCTAGAAGAGAAAGACTTTTCTTCTTCCTCTTTCACCTCTCTATAATTTGTCTTTTCTCTGAGGCCTACAACAAAGAGTATTTGAACTGGGAAGCTATCTAATTGTGGGTAAAACCAGCTCCGAGAAATCTTTAGGCATGAAATACATATTATATATGAGTTTCTACTTTAAAGCAAAAGTTTAAAAAAGCAGCTAACAAATCATTTTTAAATTGAACTTGTAAACTTGATTGGGACTATAAAATTCCTACTTGTTTTCTTTCGAAGCATTTGTGTATAATTGTTCCCATCATCAATTTATTGCCTCTCAGCTCCTAATTTACTTTATATGTCGTAATGCCCGATATTCCCTTGAGATATGTAGAAAATAATGGTTTTGAAGCTAGTTTAGATAGGACATTTGTCTTCATTTCCCTCACTGGACACAGCAAGTTTCAGAGGTTAGCTTCACTTAGGATTTTTCCCTGAGCTGGAACTCTGGGGAAATTAAAAATATGACTTTTAAAAGTAAGGATTTATTATCTAATGTGATGTCTGTAGTGGTTAAGGAGAAAGGAAGAGCCTGTTTGCTTTTCTCTTGTGTGTGCCAGATCTGATCCTTAGATGTGCACAGTCTTTGAGATGAGTGAGATGCACCCAGATAGCTGCCTCTTTCTGGCTTTCCAAATCTATTAGATTTCCTTGAATGGCTCTTCTCTTATTCCAACTGTTTCTGTTCATCTGCTCTTAATATTATCTCCCTGCCAAGGCTATTAGAATCAGAATCCCATCATCATAGTTTTCTTTCTGTGTGTTGTTTTAATCAGTTTCTTCTACTTTCCTAACCACTGGCCTACCTGATTCCTTGGTGTTGGTGGAGTTTCTTCAATGGGTTCTTCCAGTGGTTTTTCTGCACTGCACCTCCTTAGTTACCAAGGACAGCTTTAAGCGCTACATACTCTTCAGAGTTGTTTCTGTTTTGTTCTCTGCTATGGCCTGTGAACCCACAAACTCTGGTCTTTATCCTGTGCTTTCTCTTTGCCTTCTCTCTTGAAGTGTTCTATGTACTTCTTCCTCCAGTTCTATGGTCACAGGTTCTGTGGAAGGTCCACTCAGTTGAGTTCCATCCTTAGTTCCTTTCCGTAGCCTTTGTTTAAAAGGTCCAAGTCAGATGTAGTTTTGGAAAGCCACTGCACTTATTATGTAGGTTCAAGTAATTTTCAGTTTCGGGCCATTGTAGGTTTCTACAAACCTACATTGTAGGTTTGGACTGGGAACCTTAAAATCACCTTTGATTCCTCTCTTCTCCTTCCTGCTTCAAGATCTAGTCTTTTAACAATCCTTGCTGATCTTGTCTTCAAAATGATATATGTCTAGAACTCATCTACTTTTCCACCCCCACACTTGTGGTCTGGGCCTGGTCTTACTCTGTTCTACCTCTGCTCTGAAGCCCTGCTTCCTTCCAGCCTGTTAAATTCATCTCTGCAAAATGTTATCCATATTTCCTCATTTCTCCTTTAAGGACTCTCATGTTCTTATGATTATGAGTAAAAGACAACATCCTTGCTGGCCTAGCAGATCTAACAGATGTGCTTTCCGTTATCTATCCAATCTCATCTCCAGGATCTTCCTCTGGCTTAGTCTTTTTAGCCAGTCTAGTTTTAGTTTCTAGTCTAATGCTGGTTTCCACAGCACCCTTTAGCTCCAGCACTCTCATTTCCCCCTGGCCTTTATTTGTCACAGTGACCTTCCTAGACTACTAGATTTCTATACCCTGCCTCATTTCATATCTTAATTGCATGCTTTATTTTCATTAATACTTAACATTATCTTACATACTATACTTATGTATTTTGTTGCTATTTCTCCACTAATCCATGAGGATGAACACTTTTATCTCAGTTGTTTATTACTGTTTGCTTGCCTAATGCCTAGTCCCTTTTCAGGGTTCAGGGTATAGGCTGTAGTGTAGTGCTTGCCTAGCCAGTGCAAGATCCAGGGTTCCATCCCTAGCACCGCCAAAAAAAAGAGGCATAAAATAATGAAAAGAAAATTGTCCCTTTTCTCCCTCTTCCCCTTCCCTCCTGTTTATTTTCTTTTTTACTTTATTTTTTTTTGCCAGTCCTGGTCTTGAACTCATGGCCTAGGCTCTGTCTGTGAGTCTCTCTGTACTCAAGGCTACAAGGCTAGTGCTCTATCACTTGAGTCATCTCCACTTCCAGTTTTCTGGTGGTTAATTGGAGATAAGAGTCTCACAGACTTTCCTGCCTGGGCTGACTTTGAATCAAGATCTTTAGATCTCAGCCTCCTGAGTAGCAAGGATTACAGGTGTGAGCCACCGGTGCCTGGCTTGATAGGTATACTTTAAAAAGTAGGTCTTTAACCTTAACTTCTGGACTTCTAGCGACAGTCATTTTACTTGTTTCATAGAAGTGAGCTTACTATATGTAATATATATAATATATATATGTATCTATAATTAGAATTAGAGGCTTCTCATGTATAAATTTCTCACGTCAGTAAATAGTCTGAGAAAAAAGATTTTTCATCACTGTGGCTTCAGTGAATAGCATCAAAATAACAGATACAAACAAATCTCTTAGCAGTATTCACTGCAAAACACAATAAAAAAAGACCTGACATGTATTTGTAGGCATGGTGGTTTGTTTATAAACAGTTAAAAACACAGAAATCTCTGTTCCTGGAAGCCATTAACAAATATATCAATATATAATGTTAGTGATTAGGTTGTAAAAATGAGCCATTCTTTTCTTATCTGCTTTGACTTTAAAGTTAGCTGCAGTCATTCAGTACTGCAAGATGCAATATCTGCATTTCTGGTCTTGTCTTCTAAATTGAAAATACTCCTGTGATCTCTGATCCAAGGTGCATTATCCTATGGAAGGAAGAAGAACCCAGTAATTACTGAGTTATCCAGCTATTTTATGTGATTTAGAAACAAAAGCAGAACAAAAATACATTCCATACAACAAGAGATTGATAGGAACCATACAACAAGAGATCGATAGGAAAATGATTACTTTTATATGTATTATTTTAGAAAGAAACCGTAAGAGAGAAAAAGATACTTACCAAATGAATAAACTGAAAATACCTTTCATCCCCTTTTCTTTATTGAGAGCAAGATGTAAATAAATTTGACTTTTTAAAAATTCACTTTTTATTATTTTTAAATAGTTGTATAAAGAAGTTTCAATTCAGCATGTTAATTTCTGTATACAGTGCATCTTGATCAGTGTCACCCCTTCTATCATTTTCCTTACTCTTCCTTCTAACCCCAATCCCACCCGTTCTCTCAAGTTTCCCAGTTCTGTTTTCATGTATGTACAGTGAATATTATGACTACATTAACCCATCATTCCTCTCTCCATTCATCTCTCCCCTTTTAATCCTTGCCCCCTCAAGACATGTTTCAGCTTCCTGATAGTCATTTTGTTGAACTACCTGTCAATTGTTCAGTTATAATGTGTGTTACACTAAGAAATATACTCCTTCTTATACCATACTTAAGTCAATTTGATCGTGTGTGTGTATATGTGTGTGTGTGTGTGTGTGTGTGTTCAAATATGGTTATATTTTAGATCTGATCTCCACACATAGAAATGGTTCACCCTTTGTCTGAGCCAAACTTATTTCACTCAGTGTAATTTTGTCCAGGTCTATACATTTCCTTGCAAATGACATATATATATATTTTTATTATTTTATTTTATTTTTTGCGATCATGGGGCTTGAACTCTGGGCCTAGATGCTGTTCCTGAGCTCTTCAGCTCAAGGCTAGTGCTCTACCAGATGAGCCACAGCACCACTTCTGGGTCTGGTGGTTAATTGGAGATAAGAGTCTCACAGACTTTCCTGCCCAGGTTGGCTTTGAACCATGATGCTCAGATCTCAGCCTCCTGAGTAGCTAGGATTACAGGCATGAGCCACCAGTACCTGGCTTCTCTTTTTTTTTTTTTAAATTGGTACCAAAGCTTGATTTTGTTTCCCTGGCAATCCTTCCTGTGGTTTCAGTGTTTCTTCCTTTTCCCCCAAAGTCCTGGGGATTAAAGAATCTTACCTGCTAGTCAGAGCCATGCTCCAACCCTGAGAAAGCATCTCACTGCCTGGACTGTTCCCTGATGTGCCAATCCATTACTTTGACTTCTAAGTGCTGGGATTACAGATGTGCATCACCACACTTGACTTTCTTTTCTTGTTACTTGGGATAATTTTTTAGTTTCCTAACTCTTCTCTGCCTCCAGTTTCTTCCATGTGCATTTTATCTGATTTTCCCATTTAATTTCTGAAGGTATGCGTCCTTGTTCCCATCTGAACCCACTTTGATATTGCCTGTGGAGCCAGAGTTACCCACCCCTCATCAATGGCAGGACCTTCTGCTCTGCGTTCTCTGCTCTTCCCCTGCACACAATTCCACCATCATGCCCTGTCCTTTCTTTTTTCTTTTTTTTTTAAATTTAATAAGTTTTTATTGTAAAAATACTGTACAGAGGGGTTACAGTTACATGAGCAAGGTAATGAATACATTTCTTATTGAGCATTGTTGCCTCCTCCTTTTTTTTTCTCCTACCATCTCTTCCTTCCCACCTCCTCAACTACACCCCCCCACCCCACCTAAATTGTAAAATTTGTTTTTTCAACATAGCATCTGGTACATCTCATTGTTGCAATGGGTCGACTTGTATCCCTATTTAAACGATTTGTTTTTCCCTTCCCCTTCCCAAATTATACCAACATCAAATACAGTGAAAACGGGTTATACCGTGCAGGAGGGACATACAATGCAACAAGAAAAAATCACATGGTACTATATAAATACATTAGAAACAATAGCAAGAAAGAAAAAAACCCTACCTTGGGGTTGATTTGGCTTAACATCATCTTATCTTACTAGTTATTGCAAATAAGGGAAACCATGGGATCTGTTTCTTTGGGTGTGGCTTACTTCACTTAATATAATTTTTTCCAAGTCTTTCCATTTCCTCATTCTTCAAGGAAATAGAAGAGGCAATCCAAAAATTCATATGGAACAATTAAAGACCCAAATAGCAAAAATGATCCTTAACAGAAAGAACAGTGCTGGACGAATATCAATACCAAATTTCAAACTCTTCCACAAAACCATAGTAATCAAAACAGCTTGGTACTGGCACAAGAACAGACCTCAGGACCAATGGAATAGAATTGAAACCCCAGAAATGAACCCACAGACCTACAGCCACCTAATCCTTGATAAGGGAGCTAAAAAAAACAGGATGGAAGAATGACAGCCTCTTCAGTAAATGGTGCTGGCAAAATTGGTTAATCACCTATAGAAAGCTAAAGCTAGATCCTTATATATTACCCTGTACCAGAATCAACTCCAAATGGATCAAAGACCTCGGAGTAAAAGCAGACACTGAAAACATTACAGGAAAGAATAGAAGAAACCCTAGATCTCCTTGGCACAGGCCGAAATTTTCTTAATAGAGACCCAGAAACACAACAAGTCAAAGAAAGGTTGGATAAATGGGATTGCATGGAGCTGCAGAGCTTCTGCATGGCAAAGGACATAGCTAGCAAGATCAATAGAAAGCCCACGGATTGGGAGAAGATCTTCACTAGCCATACAATGGACAAGGGTCTCAGATCTAAAATATACCTGGAACTTAAAAAAATTAAATCCCCCAATAACAAATCCCCAAAGAAACAACTGCCCAATAAATAAATGGGCTAAAGACTTACAGAGAAACACCCCATCCTTTCTTAATCTAACTATCTGTCACGTCTTCCCACTTGTAGCCTGTTTTTTGTTTTGTTTTGTTTTTTTACTATCTCCATTTCCTTCTTGATTCACTTTCTGTCTGACAACTTCTATTTATAGAAACTGTACCTTTATTCTATAGCTCTTTCTTATGACACCCCTCCTAATATGGCCTTTCCTTGTGGTCTGAGCTTTTGTGATGCCTTCTCTGCCTTTGGACTGTCTTGAGACCTGCTCTTGTGCTTCTCTTAGTAAATGTGTCCCTCCTAGACTACCTGTGTGTATTTCTTATTTCACCACTTTCTCAATACACGTTCCTCTGCTAATTTCATAGATTGCTATTGGAGCAGAACATCTTAAAGCCTATATATTTTTAATGTAAAAGTGTTCAGTTTGATCATTTTTTTTCCCATTCACAAGCAGCATTTGAAGTATGTTAACAATTTTGCCACATGAATTTTTTTGAAAATCAATACTACTTTAGGCTCTATGCCTGGTTAGCTTTTCTCTGATGAATCATCATGACATAGAGGAATGTCTTTACTTGAGTTTATCTTTCACAATAATGGAAAGTATTTAAAGGATTGAAGGAAAGGGTAAGTATTTCTCAGTGCTGCCTACTACAATTGCTGTTCTGATAGAGAGGCATTGAAAGATACAAACTGTCTGTGCTGAAGGCTGGGAATGTGGCTTAGTGGTAGAGTGCTAGCCTTGAGCAGAAGAAGCTCAGGGACAGTGCCCAGGTCCTGAATTCAAACTCCAGGACTGGCACAAAAAAAAAAAAAAAAAAGAAGAAAGGAAGGAAGGAAGGAAAGAACACAACAGTCTGTGCTGATCAGTGATATATGTGTAATTTTAAACATTCTCCCTCCCCTCACCTTAACTCTTAACTTTCCAAAAGTTACAACATTCACATTCTAAGTATGTGTTCTTCAGATGTCTTTCTTAATTTGTTGGTTAATGTGTTTAGTGCCATTATATAGCCTCATAGAACCTTTGATCTTACTGATCTCTTGAAGGCGATGTGATATTTGGCACTTAAGTAACTATCCTCTGGATAATATATTATGAGTTCCTTTGAACTTGGGTGTTCCAAAAGTATTGTTTTTCATATACAAAGTATATGAAAGTATATCTTCATGTGTAAAGTATCATATGCACAATTTCATATATAAAGAATTTTACATAAGATGCTTATGGGCAGGTTGGCCACAGATACCATTTTCCAGCTTTGTAGAGAATGGCTGTCTAGGCCTCCAACACATTCAGCAGTCCCCTGCCCCAGAGAGGCCTCACCCCTATACCTATCTCTCTTGCAGCTCATGACACTAAGGGGTTCTGTCCTGGAAGATGCCATTCCCTCCACAGCGAAGCATTCAACAGCCAGAGGACTGCCTCTGAAAGAGGTTCTGGAACATGTGATCCCAGAGCTCAATGTCCAGTGCCTGCGGCTGGCCTTCAACACACCCAAAGTCACGGAGCAGCTCATGAAACTGGATGAGCAAGGGGTGAGTGTGGCTTTCAAAGGAGCCCTTTCTTGCTACTCAATATTTCCTGCTGACTTCGAGGACACCAACCTTAACATTCCTTCCTTCCTTCCTTCCTTCCTTCCTTCCTTCCTTCTCTTTCTCTCTCTCTCTCTTTCTCTCTCTCTTTTTCTCTGTTTCTCCCTCCCTCCCACCCTCCCTCCCTTTCTTTCTTTCTTTCCTTCCTTCCTTCCTTCTTTCTTTCTTTTCTGAAAACTGTTACCATCTATTATGAAGCATATTCACAGTGCTATTTTTTTGAATCTCTTTTTTAATTAACTCTAAACATTGTTCATCTGATGAAATCAGGAGATAGGTAGAGTATCACAGGAGATAGGTAGAATTCCTAAACTATGCTCACCTCTTTTAAGAGTCTTCCATACATGAAATAAAATTTTGAGTATGTGGGAATAATTTGTAGTGGTAATATAGTAATGTTACTATATTAATAGTAATATAGTAATAATAATAACTAGCACTAAGGAATATACTCACCAGGGTGTAACTATCTTAAATATGTTAATTAGTCTTCCAGCCCTAAGAAAATATACTGTTACTCTTCCCATTTTATAGATAAAAAATCTGAGGCAAAGAGAAATTACTTACTAAATCCAGTTTTACAGTTGGAAAGTTGTAAAACCAGGATTCTAACAATCATCTGCCTCAAAGCTTGGGTGCTAACCACTATAAGCCACTACACCACACCATTTTTAACAGCTTAGAGTTTAAAACTCTTATACGTAGCGCCAAAGATGCATTTTAGCGAATACTTGTTGCCTCTGTAGTCAGTTTCTATATACTTTAAAAAATGTTTTCCCTCTACAGCTTGCAGAAAGGAAGCGTAGAAATTTATGATCTGAATCAGTCACTAATCAGAGAGTGTTACATTCTGTGTGAAGAAGTTTTAGCGTATGGGTTAATTTTATAGATACAACAGACCCTTAGTATCTACAGGTGTATAATTCCAAGGAGACCATTAATGAGGAAAAAAAAAACATAAATTTCCAGAAAGCATAGAGTTCAGGTACCATATTGAAGGTATTTCATTCATTTCTCCATAGCATCCCAACTTCCACCAGGCCCTTGATGCTTTTCAACAAATATATTTTCCCTTTATCATGTAAATTAAGCACATTAACTTTCACCTTTCTGCATCATTTGCTTTTGGGAGGAGGTATTTTCTTAAAATTAAAGGCCAGGAAGTACTCAGCAGATACACAATTTAAACACAATTGATAATAAATGGGGACTGATTGAGTTTCTATCAATAACTGAGCAACTTGATGTGCTTAATATTTGAAATGTTTTGAAATGTCTTTTGAAATATTAATTACTATTGTTTTTGACTGTTTGGTGGGATCTATATAATAAATCTACAAATAAGGAGATTTACTATATTGCATTTATGTAATCTTTCTTTATCTCCTTTTAGTATATCACCTGTTTAATACCCTGTTAGTAGGTACAATTAGTCTCTAATACCATTGAAAAACTTCTTTACAATGTATTGGTCCCGACATTGAATGCCATTATGATAACAATTGGATAACATTTGGATAACATTTTCTTAAGTAAAATTTCCAGTTTTATTAAAATAGAGACCAAAAAATCAGTTTTGCTTTTCTGTTCCAGCCAGTGAGAAGATGAAATGAACCAATAGTTGCATAAAACTTTTCTCATCCTCAGGTTTCTGTCCACTTTGCTCTTAATAATTCATAGCTTCTGAATGCTTCAGAAGGCAACTGATGCATAACTATTTTGAGGACTGTTTCCTAGTAAATATTCTAGACATTTGTGCTAATGAAGATTAGGTTCAACTTCATTGATTTATTCATTTCAGATACTATGCTAATCAAAGAAATAAACTCACCTAGACACTAATACCATAGTCATATATTTACCATAAATTTATATTAGAAATCTTGTATATAAAGAAAAGTATATATTATGAATTTCCTTTGTTTTAAACATGTAAAAGCTTGACATTGAGTAAGATGCATTGTACTCATAACCTGACAAGTTAAATTGAAACTCTTGCACAATTACTTAAAGATAATAAAAAGTTATATAAATTAAAAACCATGGTAATCAAACATTGATATTCCAATTATAAATACCTTTTGGGATTTCTGGTTCATTTGATGTCCTCTGTTAGTGATTGAAAAATGTTAGACTGAAGATGGTGCCTTGTAATAAACACTTTATGGTTCCTTCAGTGTGTGAGTTTAACACAAATTAATTCACAAAATTGGCTGTTATTTTGTAAACACGGCTTTCCTATTTTTGGAGATATTAAAATATCCCTTCCTTCATAAATGTTTAATTATAATCTATGGCAATTGTCTTTAAAAGTTAAGTTTGGCAATCACTGAGTTTATCCAATTTTATTTTGGAAAAGAATGCCTTAAAAATGCTATCCTATGAAAAGATCTCACTATGCTACCAGTTAGTAACATCTAGAAGTTTTAAGTATGCTACACTATAGTAGCAGTTTCATATCTGGACTTAAGGGCACCAGCAATGACCCCTGTCTTTGCTTATTTAGGTCCATCTCTAGCATTCAGAGTTAGGAGTATACAGATTGTTGTACAAGGGTGACATGGTATACAAAGGTGACTTCAGTATGAGTGTTACTTTGGGGCCAGAAAATCTCATTAATGCCTTGAAACCATTTTGAGAAAGTGATTTTTTTGTGTGTGCTTTTAGGAATTTATATTTTGCCTGGTGCTGATAGCTCATGCCTAGCTACTTAGGAGGCTAAAATCTGAGAACTGAGGTTCACAGACAGCCCAGGCAGGAAAGTTTATGAAACTCTTTATCTCTAGTTAACCACCAAAAAGCCAGAAATGAATATGTAGCTCAAGTATTAGGGACCAGCCTTGAGTAGGAAAACCTAAAGGAGGTACCCAGGCCCTGAGTTCAAGCAGTAGTACTGGCACCAAAAAAAAAAAAAATTATTTTAAGTTGCGAACTAGTGGCTCACACCTGTAATTCTAGCTACTCAAAAAGCTGAGATCTGAGGATCACAGTTCAAAGCCAGCCTAGTCAGACAAGTCTTTGAGACTCTTATCTCCGGTTAGTCAGCCAAAAAAGCCTGAACTGAAGTTGTGATTCAATTGATAGATCATCAACTGTGAGCAAAAAAAGGCAAGGCCCTGAATTCAATCCCAAGTACTGGTTCACACACACTCTGTTTCTATCTTTGTGTCTGTCTCTGTCTCTCCCTTCCCTTCTTTTTCTCCCCCTCTCTAAAGAAATATGTATTTTTTAATGAAATGCATATGCAAGTGCATGGATTACACATATGAATGCACAATGTACATGCATGGATTACACATCCTGTTTTCTATGGTTGCAATCATTTTTTAAAATTTCAAGCTATATGTTGAGATATAATTCATGTATTTCTATGTCTTTGTTTTTAAAATGAGTTAATGTAATAAAGAGAAATTGGATTTAGTATAAGGAACTTTTAAATTTGTTTAAATGTTTAAAAGCTAATCAGTTACTACCTTTTTCTACTCTTACTAAATGACTTAATTATAGCTGCAAGTGGCACCGTGGTTCAAGTGGTAGAGCACTAGCCTTGAGCATAAACAGGCTCAGAACAGTGCCCAGGCCCTGTTCAAACCCCCAGGACCAGCAAAAAAAGAAAAGAAAACACAATTTGTTCCCTATGTGGTGGCATTTTTGCCTTTCAAATTCTTGTTCCTTTATTTTCTTATCCTACTACAAAAAGCTAAAATTGGCGCAAAACAAAAATTAAAAAATTTATCTGTAAGATATACAAGGAAACACTGCACAAGACCTAATAATTTGTTTTTCATTTTGACTTTACAATGGTACATATGTATGAGTGGGATGTATGCTTTTTTCCTGACCTGAAAAAATACATGTTAGAATATAACTTTATGCTTTACACTTTATCCAGACATTCACATCTACTTCCTGATAATGATGTGGATCATTCACTATTTATTTCTGTCTATTTTCATTGTTACATAAAATGAGAGTAAGAAGCTATAAGTCATGGACATTGTTTTCATACTTTGGGTAGAAAATTTGGATCAACTCTGGAGTCCATTTACCTGTCATGTTTGCAGGTCATAATTTATTAGCTAATTGAGAACATCTGTTATGATAGAGACAAATTAGGTAAGTGTATGTTACATTATTACTATGGTCTAATCACTTAATTAGTATCATCTGATTTAGTGCTGGCAGCACCCCTTTAGCAGTATGATACTGGCCTGTTTTATAGTTGAGTGGATTGAGTTAAACACTAGTTCTCAATCATTTTCTTCCTCTCATTTCCTAATAATCACTGGATTGTGCTTATACTGGGGCTTGAACTCGGCCTCGTGGTCTCACTTGGCAGTTTTGCTCAAGACTGGCAGTCTTCCACCTGAACCACATGTTCATTTCCAGCTTTTTGCTAATTAATTGGACATAAGATTCTCATTGACTTCTATGTTTGGGCTGGCTTTGAACTGTGATCCTTGTATCCCAGCTTCTTGAATAGCAATTTTTAACAATATTATTTATATTTTAAGCTTTGCTAATTTTATTTATTCTTTCATGACTATTTTTATCAGTAAAACAACTATATAGCCAATTATTAGGAATCCCATTATTGTTCAGATGATTTTTTAAGTTATATGACTAATTCAGTTATTTTAAAATTTGTTGTATCAAAGATATTTTTCTTGGAAATGGCACTGTGGCTCAAGTAGTAGAGTGCTAGCCTTGAACTGAAGAGCTGAGGGACAGCGCCTAGGCCCAGAGTTCAAGCCCCATGACTGACCAAAAAAAAAAAAGGCTATTTTTCTTAAGAGGTTATTTAAAAACACTTATATCTCATTTATTTTGTATAGGGGAATGAAAGCTTGTCATGCCAAGCTCAGGAATTCATACGTGTACGGTACCTCAATGTAATGCTGACCACAGAGTAAACATTAGCTGTTGAGCTGTTGTTGATGACT